AAAAAAAAAAAAAAAATTAAAAATACATACATGCTCTGATGAAGCATTCTCTCCTAGCACTTGTAATGGCAAAGACGCAAACAATCTCAGTAGAATGGCTGAGTAAACTCTGGTGGAACCACACATATAATGTACTATAATATACCATTAAGGAGAATGAAGCCCAGTAATAACTGCCACATTTGGTTATTTAATTTTAAATTCATTAAAATAAAATTTCCATTTCTCAGTCATACTGGCTCCAGTTCAGTACCTTGTGGCTGCTGTGTTGGGCAGTGCATGTCTAAAGGAATCAGCATACCATCCTATAGTACGGAAATAAAAGCTGTCGATCAGCATACATTATAAAGCCTAAAAATACTTATTTGAACACAAGTAAGCTGCCAGGCCTTTTTCTATGACTTTTTTTTTTTTTTTTTTTTGAGACAGGGTTTTACTTTGTCACTCTGGGTAGAGTACTGTGGCATCAACATAGCTCACGGCAACCTCAAACTCTTGGGCTCAAGTGATTGATCCTCCTGCCTCAGCCTCCGTAGTTGGGCCTACAGGTACCTACCACGATCCTGGCTAGTTTTTCTATTTTTAGTAGAGATGGGGGTCTCACTCTTGCTCAGGCTGGTCTTGAACTCCTGAGTTCAAGCAATCCACCTACCTTGGCCTCCCAGTTGGCCTCCCACAGTGCTAAGATAACAGGTGTGTGCCACCTTACCTAGCCTTTCTATGACATTTTTATTTATTTTTTTGGAGACAGTCTTACTCTGTAGCCCTCAATAGAGTGCGATGGCATCACAGCTCACAGCAACCTCCAGCTCTTGGGCTTAGGTAATTCTTTTGCCTCAGCCTCCCAAGTTGCTAGGATTATAGGTGCCCACCACAATGCCCAGCTATTTTTTGTTGCAGTTTGGCTGGGTTTAAACCCGTCACCCTCGGTATATGGGGCCAGTACCCTACTCATTAAGCCACAGGCGCCACCATCAATGACATTTTTAAAACATTGGTCTTAGGGGGGAAACAGGCAAATAATTGACTTACCTTCCTATTTTCTGAATGTTGAGATAATCAGGTGTTACCATAGTTATTACATACAAATTGACATTTCCTCCTCTAGACCCGGTGCAAGTAGAGTTTCTTAGACGTGTTGTATGACCAGACTGGTTTCTGGCATGGATTAAGAATGTGTCCTGTCCCATTGGTAGGCAAGAGTCAGCCCCTCTCTAACCACCCTCCAAACAATGAAAGCCGTTCCACCTAAGTCTTCAAAGGACTAGACTAAAAAGAGCAAATTGTGTTAATTGAAATTAAAGATTTACCTATATTTAATATATAAACAAGAAAAAGCCAGTTTTTATTCTAAAATAAAGATAACATTTATTATCACAAGTTGCATAAAAACACACAGCTTTTACAAAATGATTTTTGATAGAAAAATATTTGTTTGAATACATTGTGATATTTGGGGGAACACGACACTATTGCTGTACCTCCAGCTAAAGCTTCAAAGAAACTATTTTTCTCATAATCAAAATATCCACTATTTACCACCACAACCCATCTTTGGAAAAAAGTTCATAGTGTTTTCTGAACAAAGCATTTCCTCTCAAGCTCTATTCCTGTGCCTGGCAGTCACGCGTCTGTGTGCTACACACACTGACCCTGGTGCTGGAAAGGCTCTCGTCTATTCCACACCTTCACTTTACAGAGGGAGAAACTAAGGCCAGAGAGGCTGAGAGTCGTCCTCAGGATACCTGAGCCCCAACCAGTACCTTTCAGTAATTCATAAGAGAGTAATCACAGGTTTAAAAAGAAAACTCAGTGATTTCACTCTTATTTATACTTCTGTGCTGAGAATATTATTTCTGGTTTATTCATATTCAGGAAGAAATATACTACTGAAATGGTATGAAGTGTCAAAGGGCACTTAGGTCAAACATTAGCTATGTTTCCCACAGTTCCCCAAATGACTCAAGTAATTGGTAGAAAGACTGCAGTTTTTTCCTAATTAACATACTTGGATAAATTGATACTATGAAATCAAATATTGCTACCATTGCAATTCATCTGAGCTACTTTTACAGATAACTTGTCAGTTGAGAGAGCTGATGGATTATTGTTATTTTTGTGATAGAGTGTCAGTTTGTTGCCCTTGGTAGAGTGCCATAGCATCATAGCTCATGGCAACTTCAAACTCTTGGGCTCAAGCGATTCTCTTGCCTCAGCCTCCCTCGTAGCTGGGACTATATAGGCACCCACCACAACACCCGGCTATTTTTAGAGATGGGGTCTCACTCTTGCTCAGGCTGGTCTCCAAAACATGAGCTCAGGTAATCCACCCACCTCAGCCTCCCAGAGTGCTAGGATTATAGGCATGAGCCACCACGCCCGGCTGATGGATTTTTTTCTTTGACAGACTCCATGACAATTCAAAAGGTGAAGGGAATGCTGTCACGTGTTCTCAAAGTTCCTGTGTCAGACCTTCTGTTGTCCTATGAAAGTCCCAAAGTAAGTTGCCCAAGAAAATACAAAGTCAAGCTTCCCCACATTATGACATTGAGTTGTCTCTGTGTAACAATAGTTTGATTCTAAATGGATACCATAACTCTGTTTGACTTTAAGGGCAACCTGCTGCTTGGGGGTGTCTGGTGGGGAGGGGGGAGTATGTATAACATGCTTTGTCAGATCTGTGTTAATCATACTCCCCTTTGTTCTAACTTCAGATGCCGGACAGAGAAATTGATCTGGAAAATGACCTACAGTCATTACAGTTTTATTCTGTGGAAAATGGAGATTGTCTATTAGTGCGATGGTAACAACCAGCTAATAAAATTGAGACTGCTTATCATGTCTGGGGTTCACCGGAAATAAATGATTTATTGGAAAATTCTGCTGTCAAAGTGAGTTTTACCACTTGCCCTACGTATAACAATGTTATTTTTTATTGGGGAAAAAACATTTCTAGGTTTGTATATATTATAGAAAGGCCTTGAATCTACTAATGATTTTCTGATCTTATGTCATTTTTATAGTTCATGATTGCATTTCATTATATGAAGATTTAAATATTAAATAGAAACTAACTAATTCTAATAAAACCTGAACATAGTTAATGGCTATCGTAAGACCAGCTGTAATGGAATTCTCTATTGATACTATTTTAAAAGGTTACTAAAATGATTTGGTCATTTTGGGAAATGTCCCTTAAACTCAAGAGACCTATCCTGTACTACATGTGACGTAAATGCTATACTCTTCTCAGTTGTACTGTTTTTAGAGTGTTTACAAAATTAAGCACATGCTTTTCCCTACAGTTATACCTAAACTGAGTCTATCTTCTTCTATAGAAGATGACCAGCTGTGACTGAAACTTGTTTATACATTAGGCAATGACGGGAGGAAGGCAAAATTGATTCTTGCCAAGTGTCAGCAGTTTAGAAATATCCTTCCCTATGGCACCGAAACCCTGAGAGGTATTTGCTTTGATTTAGTCTTATTTGCAAAAATTTAGCTTTTTGGGGAGAGTACTAAACTTTGACCTTTAGGACTTAACGTTAAATGACAAAAGAAAACTTGAGTACTTGTCTACTATATAAAAGTAAACTTCTTAAAACCAAGGTCTAGAACTAAGAATCATATTGGTTCCTTTTCAAATTCAAGTTACTCACTTCATGCAGACAGCCCCCAAATCCGACATTATTTCCAGAAACCCCAAACTTTGGTATAAGCGACCAATGCTCAAACAAGTGATCACATGATCACAGCATTTTTGTGAGTTCTTTCTGGCTCTTACTTACCCTAATTAAGCTAAGCAGAGCTGTCCTGCAATCCAGTTGAAATTCAAATTCTGGGTTATTAAGATTTCTAAGGCTAGGCCAAGTTTTAACAAAAAATGACAGGTAATGATGAATTATTAATTACCAACAATGCACTGGCATTTAGAAATTTTTTTATAAGTTGGTATTTTTCAAATCACCTTCCAATATATAAAGAAAAACTTTCCTTATGCTACAGTATCAGCTGACTTTTCAAAAGGAAATTTGTGCAAACATTAAGAAAAACCACACTGGGTACAGGTGCACTGCCAGCCTCGAATGCTCCTGAAAGACATATTGCCAAACCTAAGGCTCTTCTCAGACTTACATTCGGATTATCATTTGCTGCCCTGATTTTAAACACTGCTGATTTGATCCCTATTATGTGGCTTCACATTGACAAGGCTCCCCACATAATTCCTTCAGTTTCCACAGTTCTGCCAGTTCCTGTGGAGAATACTGAGGGGAAGACAGCATTCCCGTCTCACAAGTCTTCTCACACAGCCACAGGCTGTCCTGTTGGAAAACAAAAGCTGGTTTGAAATGTGTTTTGAGACAGAAAGCATGCAGATGGGCAGCTTTTCTTCTAAGGAAGCTGGAATTATTTCAAGGACAATTCTGTGTGTGAACAGATCAGTGAGGTTTGGGGTGGTTCCTCCTGATTTGGGAAAGCACCAGGCCCCACAATCCTGTCCCTGCGGAACACAGAAACAATGCAGTGTGGTGTTTAACAATTCTGAGTTAGCAAATTCTATAATGAGCAAGTCTGGAAGCCACAAATGAAGAGTTTCCTATTTGCTATTAGAGGCAAGGTGGTTATACAGTAGCATTAATAAGAGCTAGTGTAAGGTGGAATGCTTGTAACACTCTGGGAACTGTACCAAGTGCTTTATAAATGCCTCATTTAATTCTCAAAATAAACCCTGGGAAGTCAGAGTTATTTCTCTCTCACAAGTGAGAAGCTAAAATGAAAAGAGTTACGTTACTTGCTCAAGGTCTGAGTGCTGATAAAACGACAGGGATTTAAGACTTCTGAACCCCAGTTCTTAATCACAACTGTTTCCTGGTCATATGATTTGGCTATATGATACAGCTTCTAATTTTTAGCAATGTTAACAGAACACATTTATAGAGAAACCCATTCTGTTAAAGAACACAAAAGTGCTGGATAAAATTAAAAATCTTTACAAAGCATGGCTGAACTCCTGTGGTGAAGAAAAAACAGTAGGAGAAAGTGCTGGAGTCAGCACGTGGGTTTTAAAGTCTATGTCCCAGACAAACACTCCATTTAAATAATTACTATTTATTTATCGAGACAGAATCTCACTCTGTTGCTCTGAGTAGAGTTCTGTGCCTCACATAGCAACCTCAAGCTCTTGGGCTAAAGCAATCTTCTTGCCTCAGCCTCCCAAGTAGCTGGAACTACAGGCGTCTACCACAATGCCTGGCTAGTAGCCATGGGGTCTTAAACCCCTAAGGGGTTCAAGCAATCCACCCACCTCAGCTTTCCAGAGTGCCAGGATTATAGGAATGAGCCACCGTGCCTGGCCCAATAATAATAATTTTAAAAGTCCATGCCCAGGCTTGGCGCCTGTCGCTCAAGTGACTAAGGCGCCAGCCACATACACCTAAAGGGGCAGGTTTGAATCCAGCCTGGACCTGCCAAACAACAATGATGGCTGCAACCAAAAAATAGCTGGGCGTTGTGGCGGGCGCCTGTGGTCCCAGCTACTTGGGAGGCGGAGGCAGGAGACTCGCTTGAGCCCAGGAGTTGGAGGTTGCTGTGAGCTGTAATGCCACAGCACTCTACCCCGGGGGATAGCTTGAGGCTCTGTCTCAAAAAAAAAAAAAAAAAGTCCACGCCCAAAGACAGGAAACCAGAGACTGCCAAAGAAAGCTGGAATCCCTGAAGGGCCACTGCCTCTGGGTACGTAAGAAAACTTCCTAGACAGAGAGTGTCTTGTCTGTCTCAGTCCTGCCCCTGAGTAGGATGTCAAGGAATCTTCCCTGAACATCTGTAACCACTGCTTGCACGAAGGTGGGGCTGAGCCATTATTCACAGTCCACAGCCCCAAAAGTCCCTAGATAGAAATTTGAAGTATTCGCAGATGGTAGTGCCCTTAGGTGCATAGCAAAAAAAAAAAAAAAAGGTAAACCCTTTTTATTAGAAATGCATTTTAAATACAGTCCATTTCACCTAACAGAGCAAACATTGTAATCTACTTATTTGTACCCTCAAATTAATTGGAGATAAAATTAAAAAAAAAAAAACAGGCTGTAGTTTCAAAGTCACAAGGTCACAATAAAAAGTCTCTTAACACATCAAGAAACAAGCCCCAACGGTCTGTAGAAACAAGGAACTGCAACATCAGAGCTGCAAAGACCACGCACCCAAACCAACTTCCAGTACAGAAAAACTGGACTCGTCGTTTAAAACCGAGAAAAACATCGTAGGAGAGGCAACCTAGGTGGATTACTGGGAATTAAGAGCACAGCTGTTAGGCTGGAAGACCTTTGTTCTCTCTGCCCGAGTCTGACAGACATCACAGCTGGAGCGTCCCAAATTCAACTTGTTGTGCACTAACATGACATTCAAATGAAATGCTCACTTTCAGATTTGGGATGCTGACCTGGGAAGTCTGATGCCCTCACTCCCAAAGCTGAAAAACTGAAATCCAAAATCTGAAACACTTCCAGTCTCAGGCATTAGAAATCGCATTTTCTCAATTCTTAAGAACCCTAGAGCCAGCCCCCGGAGATCTGCTTACCTGGTATCTTTTGGGTCCTATGGCTGCCATCCAAATGCCCATGCTTACATCTTCACCCTGCACATGGCCCATAAAGTTTAAATGTCAACGTTTAAAAGCTTATTTCATTTGTAAAGACACATCCACTTCCCTTATAAACAACGTACTTCTTTATTACTTTAACGTGAAATGCTGAACACAGATTGACACTAATACGCGTAGTGAGAGCCAGTGGCTGTTAGCAGGGAGCACCTACGCCACCAGGTAACGAGCGACAGGTAACGAGCGACAGGGTAGCCGCAGCCCCTTCTTCTCATGTTCCTCAAGTCTTTAGGAAATACTTTCTAGTTAGTCTTCCTCCCTATGAATGAATAAAAATCTTTGTATTCTTCCAGGGATTACACTTGTAAATATAGGCAGAAAATATAGTAAGTAGGCTGAAAAAAGACTTAGGAATAGAATTTGAAGGATAGTAGCAGTGTGTCCTGAACTTTTAAGAACTGATTTCTACACAGAAAGAATAACATGCTTTTCCCCAAGTAAGTGGGCTGTGCTTTCAGACAGAATACTGGGCTGGATAAAACACGGTGAGTGTACACTGAGGTAAGAAACCCTTCGTTACCTGATAAGTCTTTAATCGCCCCGAGTTGCTTGCCAGCCAGTCGACAATGTCCCTGGAGATCACATACCCTGACCCGCATGCAAAGGCAGGGTAAGCAGGACTGGGGTACTCCAACTCCTGCCACTTTCCAGTGCGGTCAACCGCCCAGTTCAGTCTGAAACTGAGATTAACAATAACACAGCTCCCTGAGTTCGTCTGCCACTATAAAACTCGACTCTATTATCATCACTACAAAGGAATAAGCTTGTAGAAACAAGGACAGAAGATGAGATAGGATTTTGTTTTTAATCTAAGGATAGGAATATTACCATTTTATCCAGTGGTGTTTTATGTTAAATAGTATATTAAATTTTCTCAAAGTTGCATTTGTGGAGCTTCTGACAGAAAAGTACTAAAAGATTACCCTGTGTTTTAGCAGATATTAAACTCGGAACACAAAAAAAGAAAATCACTAATCCATATTGTAACCCTGAAGAAGCACAGAAAGTGATTTCAGAGATGTGTCACAAATACATTCCAATATAAAACATACAGCAGCTTCTAATGTAAGTACCATTTATTTCTAGGGCATGAGAATAGAAGGCACATCATTTTCCCTCATTAATTACATTAGCCAGAGGCTTTTAATTAAAAAAAAATTTCCCTCTGATTGTAGAGTAAAAAAAGTATTTTAACCCAGGAGCCTAACAAGAAATTTCACATCTCAGACAGCACCTGTGGCTCAATGGGTAGGGCGCTGGCCCCATATACTAAAGGTGGCGGTTTTGAACCCGGTCCCGGGGAAACTGCAACAAAAAAACAGCTGGGCGTTGTGGCGGGCTCCTGTAGTCCCAGCTACTTGGGAGGCTGAGGCAAGAGAATCACCCAAGAGCTGGAGGTTGCTACAAGCTGTGATGCCACAGCACTCTACCAAGGGCGACAAAGTGAGACTCTGTCTCTAAAGAAAAAGAAAAAAATTTCACATCTCAACCACATTTCCATGTGAAAAAAAGAAACTTGCGTATTTCATTCCAAATTAATAACATTTGGTCAGGCATGAGAATGCCACAAGAATGGGCTAACAATGGTTAACTTACTTCCCCCACCAAAGATCAGGCCCATCCAGATTCTTCTGGGCAATTCTATCAAACACAGCTTCTAAGTCTATGTAACAGTCGTCATCTGTCTTTAGCAACAAATTGAAGCTAGTTGTTTCCACGGTCCTATCAGCAAAAAAGAGATACAACCATCAGTATAACCACACAAACAGACCAAGTTCAACCCAATATGGTGGCATCACTAACATTTTATTTCAAAATCGTCCCTGTACTACCCATGTCTCACTCCTCAAATGCTGAGAACATCTGCTCTAACAGAACTTTGCCGCTATCAACTGCCCTCAGTTGGTATTTGCCAAGCGGCATAAAACAGAGATACAACAATCCAATTTTAAAAGGTATAGGATTATACAAGAAATTTTTAGATTAAAAAAAAAGATGAAGGAAAAAATACAATGAGGAAAAAATCTGGTTTAAGTGGAACGTATGTTCAAACAAATGCTTCTTAGCCATCATTCATGTCAGGCTGCCAGATTAACCTTGCCATATGTGTTTTTACAACAAAGGCCCAGGATAAGGGGTCGGGTGTTATACCTGGGCCTCTCACACAGGCTGCTATTGGACAAGATGTGCTCTATACTGTAATTTACATATAGCAGTCAAGATAGTTCATGGTCTTAGAAAAATTGAGCTATAACATTTAAACATTTTCTCTTAGAAACAACTTTCAGCAATTAAGCCATCATAAAGGGCCTTCTGGAAGGCACAGCAGAGTAACTTCATTTATCTAGACATCAAAAAATATATAATAGCAACTAAAGACAAAAGTCACTCCTTCATTTCACATTGACAAACCTACTCATCTCTATTTAAAAATGCAGTTTTGTAATATGATAAAAATCTCAATAAAAAAATCCAGAGGAAGTTTCATTAAGTCAAAAGATAGTAAATTTAACAACAGTGGGTCCACACCAACTGGCATAACCCTGTGTTTTTAAAGTTTATTGCTAGTTAAACAGCATAAGGCAGATCCATGGGTCACTACAGAAATTTTGACCCAGACTGATTTCACCTCTGAGAAACACAGCTGACAATGGCAATTGTTCTGATTCACACATGCCACTCTGAACTTGGTTGCTTTATTGGTTTTAGGGGGAGGGCTTCATTTATTCCTGTCTATGTGAATTTTATGTTTCTTGACTTTTTGTTTGTTTCTTGACTTTTGTGTACCTCAAAACTTTCCTAATAACCCATGTGTAATATTCATTTGCTAACTAGAAATAAACTTTCATGACAAGGGACATTTAGGTCACTGGTGACTCTACTGAATAAAGGGATCATGACACTCTCATTTACAGTGTAGAGGGAGATGGGTGGGGCAGCTGCAGGTAAGTGGTCCCGGAGCACAGCCCTGTTGGAAGGTGACTGCGGCAATCTCAGCACAGAAGGTGACTGCTCAAACAGTGGAAGAGAAACGGAGGGGGAGAAGCCAAGATCTCAGAGATGGGTAAGGAGAAGAAGAGATTAAATTCCAACTGCACTAAATGTAACTTCCACACCTGGGAAGTATCTCTCTATAGAAAGTCCTAGAACCCTGGGCGGCGCCTGTGGCTCAAAGGAGTAGGGCATTGGCCCCATATGCCAGAGGTGGTGGGTTCAAACCCAGCCCCCGTCAAAAACTGCAAAAAAAAAAAAAAAAAGAAAGTCAGTCCTAGAACCCCCCAGTCCTGATTTCCAACTTCGTGGATCTCCATTTCTACTACTCCCCCTCACATTGGCCTCACCCTACACCTAGAACTCACTCCCATTAGTGGCCTTGACTTAAAACAAGTTTCTTTCTCTTCAGCTAAACTTACTCCTGATATTCCAGACACATTCAAACTTCCAACCCTCATTTACATCTTTCCTCCACCCACAGGACAACTTCAAAATTATATTAACATGTCCCAGCTAGGAAACATTACCCTCTATAGCTAACTAGATGATCTAACTTTCCGGACCAGAGAACCACATCTGTAAAGTACCGTACTTGGTAACTTCCCACTCTACCTAAGGCAATAGAGAAAAGAAAAAAAGACCGTGGACCTTACTAAAAAACAGGATAAGGTTTAAAAAAAGAAAAGACAGAGATATGAATAGCCTTTATAGGTTTAGCCCGGAAAGAAAGAGTTCAAAGCTTACAGTTCTGCAGTAAGGGTAGACAGTATCAATGAACTCAACAGCAAATTACGGGACCCTAGGGTAACCAATAATATTAACAACTATATATATTAAAATAACAGTCATTATATGTTATATATTGGGTGTGTCTAGAATACTAGGAATAAATTTAGACTGCTGTTGCTATTGTTATAAAAGTAGAAATTACTATAAGATCCAAGAAATACTTGAGGGTCTGGAAAGTTATAAATAGGATAGACTCTAAGAGTTGTAGAAGTCTAGTGAGTCTCTATACAAGAGTTTCAGAATCAGGACAAGTAGTTTTTAAATGTATGGAATAGAGAACGGAAATACAGAGTGGACTTTCAGTTGAACAGAATTCAGATGAGTAATCTGGATACAAGTGACTGTAGCTGGGGAAAAATACGGGTAGATGGGTAAAAATACTGAAAACGAACCATTTCTGAACTCAATGATTTTTCATTTAAAATGGCTTAAGACAATTGTGCCAAGTAGGAATGACTCAAAAGAAATCAATTTCTACCTTGTATATTTTCAACAGGTTAATATCATTCACATCATGGATCTGCTAATCAAAATAAGTGGTGGCATTTTAGAAGCTCAGTCTTCACAAGGAGTCAGATACAACAGGTCATACCCTAGGTGTCATGAGTTTTGTTTTTGATTACTGAGATCTCAGAGGTTTGAAGTTGATAAATTATTCCTGTATCAAAAGAACAATAAGCCAGGTACAGTCCTAGCTGTTCAGGCGGCTGAGGTAGGAGGATCACTTCAGTCAGAGTGGGCAATACAGCAAGACTGCCTCCAAAAGAAAGAACAAAACAAACAAAAAACCACAACAGAAATAAAACTAGGTCTAGCTACTCAACATTTTTACAACCTACCATTTGTAGAAGTTCAATAATTTTGCAGGAACATTTCGATAAGTGTCAACAACATCCACGAAAACAATATCATTGTAGGTGCTACTCTCCTCCTTCAGGAAGCCGTCTTCTTCATGGAGCTTAGTCAGATGATCAGTGAGTCTTTGGGGACGAGAATGAAGGTTGTGTAAGAGAGCATCAACTTCTAAAAAGAAAAATCGAGAATTGGGGAAAAACGCTATGGCAAATTAAGACCCGGAACCTATAATAAGATGTACACTAAAATTCTTTTCCCAAGACAACATAACAAATACACTTGTTTGTAACTTCAGGTAGGGAAGGGGAGCCCTTAGACATTGCCAGTGGGAGATAAATGGACACACCCAGTTTGGAGGGCAATTTGATAATGTCTTGTTAGGCTGGAGATATATACACTTACGGTTGAGTCCACTTGAAAGTATATCCTTATAGACATTATAGCCTTTTTTTTTTTTAAGAGCTAATAGTAGAGATTTATTAAATGCATCTGCAAGCACATGAGCTGTCACTGAAAATGGAAAATGGTGACAGCTACAGACATTATTTTTACATGGTCACAAGGATATTCACCGCAGTACTGTTTGTGAAAAAAACGCAATCAAGCTAAATGACCACTGATAGGAATGGTGCTAAAAATAATGTTGAGTAAAAACTGCTTTTATAAGTGATAGATCTGTATGGTATGATTCTATAATAGTAATTACAAAATACTCGATGTTATTGAAAGGTATGTAAATATATAGCAGAAAGTAGAAAAATAACAATGGGAAGGGTACACGTGAATTTTAGGACAGTGGCACCTCCTCTGAGGCAAAGGGGCAGGAATGGGAACTATAAGGAGATGAGGGAAAATTCAACTGTGCCTATCATGTTTTATTTCTTTAAAAAAAAATGAAAGCAGGGCAGCTCAGAGGAGTAAGGCGCCAGCCCCATATGCCGGAGGTGGCAGGTTCAAACCCAGCCCGGCCCAAAACTGCAAAAAATAAAATAAAAAAAAAAAGGAAGCAAATATGACAAAAATGGAAACATCTATTCATTCTCAGCAGTGGATACTTTTAGTATTCTCTATTTTTGGTGTATTTATGGTATTTCATAATAAAATGATTATTAACGATGCTTAAAAGACATTGGCCCTCTCACACACTGTGAGTCACTTGTCACGTGTGTGCAGAACTGTCCCCAGATCCTGGGAATTCTCTCACCAGGGCAGGGGAAGTCAGGATTTTCTCAAATGTCTTGATCAAATTAAAGACAATTTCTGAGGAATAAAAAGAAAGTGAGCTGCTGAGGGGTGGGGACAGGAAATGAGAGGTTATTTAGCACTCGACTCTTTGTTGTTGCAAATGGAATGAATGGACGAGGTGGGCGGGCGTCTGAAGACCTTCACTAGACTTCTGCCTCTGCCACTATCAGTGAGATACTGAAAAGTCACTGTCTGCAGACTGCAGCATTCTCACCCATAAAAGGAGTGGAACTAACCCGGGGTTCATAGGAATGTTTAGTGAAATACAGATTCCTGGGCCTCAAGTCTAAAGCTTCAGTAGATCTGGTGTGCAGCACAGGAATCTGTATTTTTAATTTGCCACCTCTCTGACTCTGATGCAGGTGAGTTACAGACTACAGACAACCCTTTGAAAAGAAACACAGGACTAAATAACTGTTCCCTTTTGACTCCTAAGCCTACTGTAATATCCTGTCACTTTAAAGAGAAGGATAAATATATAAAGATAGTCCTTCACTTCATAACAATTCCATTTATGATTCTGTGACTTTACAATAGCGTGAAGAGTAACATGTGGTTGGTGGAAACCATACTGTGAGTACACATACAGCCATTCTGTTTCTCACTTTCAATATTTAATAGCACAGGAGACGTTCACTACTCTATTATAAAGTACTGCCCTCCTGTATGCTAGTTGAGTATTCTGGACACATTTAAGGTAGGCTAGGGGCTAAGCTATAATGGTTAAATGTATTAAATGCAATTTCAACTTATGATATTTTCAACTTAAGATGAGTTTATCAAGATGTAACCACACTGTAAGTCAAGAAGTGTCTACAATTTAACACTGGAAGGAAAGTGAAAAGTGTTATACAACTGTAGTAATAGGAAAATGGATAGTAACGAGATGAGAACAGAACCTACATACAAGCCTTTTAGACTAATAAGTTATACATTTTGTTTTAACTGCATTAACCTGAAAAATATGAGTATAAATTAACATACCAGGACTAAGAAAAGATGTCTGCTTTTGCCACTTACAGTCAACACTGGACTACATATTCCAGCTAAGACAATTAGATATGAAAAAGAGGTAAAAGGCATCCACATGAGAAAGGAAGAAGCAAAACTGCTTCTGTTGGCAAATCACAGAATCTTGTACACAGAAAATCCTAAAGTCCCTAACAAAACTATTAACGAAAAGATAACACGTCCAGCAAGACTGCAGCACGCAGGTGTGATACACAAAAATCAACTGTATTTCTATATGTGAGCAAGGAACAATTTGGAAAGAAAATTTTTAAAAATTCCACCTACAAGAGCATCAAAAATTAAATATTTAACAATAAATTTAACAAAAATGCTGCAAGCTTTTTACATTGAAAAACCATTAAACATCGCAGAAAGAAATCACGCTCAAGGGTGCTCAGAGGCAATCCTGTTAACATGGCAAACTCCTCAGACTGACCTACAGAATAAACCCAATCCTTTGGGAAATCCAGCTGAGTTTTTTTTTTTTTTAATAGAAATTGACAAGCTGATCCTAAAATTCATTAGGAAATCCAAGAGACGCAATAGCCAAAACAAGCTTGAAACAAAAACAAGGTTGGAGGACTCACACTTCCCAATTTCAAATTTTACTATAGAGCTGCATGATCAAGGCAGTGCAGCACTGGTATACGGACAGACATACACATCAGTGCAATAGACTTGAGAGTCCAGAAATAAATCTTTGCATGCACAGTCACTGATTTTTAACAGATGGATGCTGAGAAAACTGGATATCCACATGTGAAATGAAGTAAAATCTCTACTTCACGCCATATACAGAAACTAACGTGACCAAAGTCCTACAGGTAAGTGCTAAAATTATAAAACTTTTTTTTTTTTTTTTT